AGGAAGCTAGGCGGCGTAAAAGACGAAATTTGGTCTGTTGATCCCGAAACAAGCTCCAAGGGAACAGCAATATTGATTCCTAAATCCTCCCGCCTATTTAAAGCAGGCTCAGTCCTAGACAAGAGAGYCGACCAAAGGGAAGGGAGATGGTGTATGCTACACCTGAAATGGAAAGAAGAGGAATTCTTACTCTTCAACATCTACGCACCGAACTCGCCATCAGAAAGGAAGACCTTCTTAAGGAACATCCAAGACTTGATCCTGCTTCTGACACCTTGTATCCTGGCAGGAGATTGGAATGCCACGATAGACCCTTCACTAGACCGTATAGCCAGGTCGTCTGGCACCCCTAGTTCTTCTGAAGCTATACTAATCCAGGAATTGATGCTGGATCATAACTTGGTGGAACCTTATAGAATTCTTCATCCAAACAAGAGAACCTTCACCTTAATCAAGAAAAATCACGTTGACCACACGGCCTTTTCGCGAATTGACTACTTTCTAGTATCAGAAATCATGATGGGGGCGGTTAAGAATGCTGAAGTATTACCCTTGGCTCCATACCCAGGACTGGACCACAAACCAATTGAACTGGTTGTTTGTTTCGACCAATTGATTAAAAAGGGAGTCAGCTTCCATAAACTCAACAACTCCCTCCTACTGAGCCAGACCTTCCAAAGTGAAGTTTGCAACTGCTGGGAGGGTCAGAGATCCGCGCGCCTAAGTACTGACCATCGATGGGAATGGTTTCAAAAGAGTTATTCCAACCTGTCAAGCTCCGTGGCCAAAGTCTCTAGGAATCTAGCATCCATAAGGAAACAGAGGAAGCAARCACTAGAATTCGCGCTGAAGTTGGCARAAACCAACCTAATAAATAACCCTGCCTCACCGYTATATAACAATCTGTTCGACAAGGCACGTGAGGAACTGGCCATGTGGAAATKGTGGGACMTGAGAGGTCTCCAAATAAGAGCGAGAATGTGTGAATATGAACTCAGTGACTCTATGTCAAAACACTTTTTTGCCCGAATCAAAGCCAACTCGAGAGCTTCGACAATTGAAGGCCTGAGATCCCACGCAGCCCCGGAAACGGTGAGATCAGAWAGCGAAGGCATGCTAGAGATAGCTAACAACTTCTATAAGGACCTCTATCTCTCCAAGACTGAGACTCCAATCCCCTCCTATACTAGCGAGGCAAGACAGAAAATGCTGCGCTATCTAGAACAAACAATATCGGCGGATCAGGCCGAAGCACTTGACAAACCAATCACATTGGAAGAACTACACCTGGCCTTAAAAAGCATGAATAACAACAAGTCCCCTGGAATCGACGGGTTAACAAAAGAGTTTTGGGAGAAATTTTGGCCCCTACTAGGACGTGATCTGTTACACTTCTACAATGACAGTTGGTCCAAGGGAGGACTGGGTAATCTTCTCAGCAGCAGTGTCGTCACGTTACTCTACAAAAAGGGCGAGAAAGAAGATATCAAATGGTTCCACATTGATCAAACAGGCTTCATCCGGGGCCGCTACATTCTAGACAACGTTATGACTATGAACGAGTCGGTAAGAAAAATCAGGGAAAGGAAAATAAACGCTGCCATTCTCTTCTTTGATTTCGAAAAGGCATACGATCAAGTAAACTGGGACTTCATGGAAGCAAGTATGGAAAAGATGGGAGTGGGACCTAACTTCAGAAAATGGGTCCGGATACTGYATAGAGATGCARAAGGCTGTGTCCAAGTCAATGGACTACTATCAGAATGCTACCCGATCTCCCGTTCGGTCCGTCAAGGGGACCCCCTGGCCCCCTCAATCTTTCTATTYGTGATGGAGGCAATCGCATCCTTCCTCCGTAAGGATCCATCAATTCAAAGGCTAGCCAGCACAGACGTAGGTTCATCCCACCAAATGGACTTTCCAATAGCCATCATGTTCGTTGGCGATTTAACGGTCCTAATCGGAGCATCTGATTCCTCATTCACTTCTCTAGCTAAAGCAATGGCAGCGTTCAAACTAGCCTCAGAAATGAAAATCAACTAGGGAAAAACAATCGGCTGGTGGCTATCCGAGGATAAACCCCCCTCGCTCCAAGGGGACGAGGCGGCGATGACGTGGCAAACGCCGGACACACCCACCCGCTATCTGGGCATATTATTGACGAAGGAAGGACTGGCTCCCCAAATGGGCCCCTCTATGCTAACCAAACAGATCAATAAAATTGGAAGATGGGGCAACACCTTCACATCCCTCATCGGTGGAGCACTAGTCCTCAATACATTAATCTTTTCAATGATGTGGTACATCGCTTCCATTTGGACAATCCCTGACAGTTCGCTTAAGGAATCGAATCGAAGAGCTAGGCTGTATCTATGGACAGGAGACCCTAACAAGGAAAAAGGATTATCCAAAATCGCCTGGCACTACGTTACAGGAAGGCCACGTAATGGAGGCCTAGGAATTATCGACCCCGGAACAGAAACAAAAGCCCTACAAATCAAATGGATCATCAAACTACTGATGAATCCAAACAGCGCATGGAACAAGCTGGCACTGGACAATATCAGATCCGTGGGCCCAATTCCCTCCCCAAACGATATGTCAGGCCTGTTCTGGGTGATGAATAAAGAATGGGTGATAAACACAGGACGTAGGAACCGAACGAAGAATAACAGGCTCAATGACCCCCGTCCGCCTACACCTTACTGGCCGGCATTACTCCGATCCTGGAGGAAAATAATTCCCAACAAGACAAACAGACCCAAATCCAAGGATGAAGTACTAAGGCAACCTCTCTTAGGGAATGAATGGATAAAAAACGAAGCGGACAACCCTCTCTTCCTAGAACAGAAATGGTTGTCCTGGATCAGAAACGGTATCTGGAAAATCGATCACTTATGGGTGGAAGATAGAAAGGGCTGGGTAACAGAACAAGAAGTCAACCCCCGATTGAAAGRCTRTCATAGACGAGGGACCAACCTCCAATACATTCTTAACTGCATTCCACAGGACTGGAAAGACATCCTGACAAAAGACGAGTCGTGGAGACTGGGTGAGTGGGGTCTGTTGATTCAAGAAACAACACCCCCGAGAGCCTTTCAATTTTCCCATTGGCAGCAAGGCTCACACACTAAGGCCACTTTCCTCTCTTTCCCGATCTCCTCCTCCAATACGGGTTCGCCGAATATCCTAAATTGCGAGGTAGAGTTGCTGGTCTTAGAGTCCTTCTTACTTTGGAAAATAAGGGTCCTAGGATCATGGCCGAAATCACTCTACAGGCCTGACACTTCAATCCGTAACTTGGAGTTCGATCCAGCTGAATGGGCGTGGCCGCCAAATAAGACCTGCAACATAAAGACCAGAATCCCAATTCAGGACTACACAGTCAAACTTGGATACAGACTGTCTCTAAAGACCAAAAATCCAGACCCTATTATCAAAAACAGATGGGGGAACCTCGTCGGGCAGGAAGCAGACAAAATCACACGGATCCACTGGGATAAGTTCAAACGTATCAGACCAATCAAGATTAGAAGCCTGCAGTGGCTGATTGTGTACGCAGCCCTTCCGGTGAACCAATGGCTACATATCAGGAGGAAATCTACAGACCCCAACAGCTCGGAATTATGTACAATATGCACTGAAGGTGTCGTAGAGGACATAGTTCACTGCCTGGTACACTGTAAAGAGGCTACGGAATACTGGGTCAAAGCCTCAACACTCTGGGACTCCCTCTTCTCCTCTCCCTTCCCCAAACAGCCCATCCAACTCCTCCTCTTGACTAACATCCCTGTTCAGGCGCAAAAGGCAGAAAGGATCTGGTTTGGACTCATCAGGAAAGTGACTCTATGGGTCATTTGGAAGGAGAGATGCAGCAGGACAATTGAGGGGAGATCCAACCCACGGGAGAAGGTGTGGACAGAAACCAGATCGCTGATACAAGCCGAGATCCTCTGCAGATGGCGGAAGATAAAACGAGCTTGGACAGATGACGAAGAGCAACTTAACAAGGAGAGGCAGAAATTCCACAGGAATTGGTTGATAAACGGCAAGATTGCAGAATTGCGAGAGGACCGAATTTGCTGGAGGGAGTGGCATAACTCTGTCTCAGTAAGAGGCGTTAGCCAGCTGGCAACTTCCCAGGGCATACTAGCATCCTAGACCTCGACAGAAGGAAAGGGACACATCAAGGGCCCAGGGGACACGAACCGTGAGGAGTCAAGGGAGAGTTCAGGACCATTCCGCCCAGGGTTCAATCTGGGAGCATAAACAGAAGAAGGGTTTTGGGTTTAAGGGTTTTTAGAAATCCTCCAAAAGGGACAGAGAGGTGTGTCGAGAAGTTACAGCCCGGCAAGGCCTCCGAAGGGGTTCTGTTTAGGGATAAGGGTGCAAAGGTAAGAGAGACAGTGGAAGACAGACCTAGCTCTACCAGTAATTCACACAGATTTGACAGCCTTACAGCTGAGAGGCAGAACTAGGGAAGCCCAGATAGTTCAACAG